CGTCTATTGTGCGGTACTTGTTGTTAAAGTCCGGGCACTGCAGTGTCCAGCCCTGTCCGCCGTAGCTCGAGTAGCAACTCGTGTCACCCAAACGGTTCCGAAAGTACTGCTGACCGACGCTGACTGTTGGCAGGAATGTTGTCGTCTGGTATTTACTCAAACATTTGCTGTTTAGGAGAAAAACAAACGTTTTTAAAGTATATGGATAGGGAGGGGACAGTCGGGTGAAGGATATTGTCCTACAATTTAGCCAAATATTCGGTAACGTATTCCATAAGAACGGCCTCTTTTTCCTTCAGCTTTAGAGGTGGCGATTGAGACGTGAAGAGCGAATAGTTGCCGAACTGGCGGTCGTAGTCCCGGAGCTGATGGTAGGCGTAGTCGAAAGCGGACTCCATGTCCTGTTGGCTGATCTCAGGAGCGCGGCTGTAGTGTTGAGCGCAGGCGCCCGAGTGGTACAGATAGGCACCGGTGGACAGGTATGAGCCGTATATGGATTGGGCGGTGTATCGTTTGCCCGAGAAGTACTGTTGCTTACCATAGGAGCCGGGACTGTAAGTGCCCGGTATGTTCTGGTACGGCGACCGTATGTTTGTCCGGTTGTATTGGTGTCCACCACTACCATTGCCGCCTCCGCCAGGGCTGCCACTCAAATAGTTATTGCTCTGATTGTATGCCTTACCGTAATTGAATTGAGGGGCAGTAGTGTTGTAACGTTGATAGTTAGGCGCCCTGTAGTTGTAGTTAACGGCGCCGTACATCACACGCATGTAGTTTTGGAGCCCGGGATTAACACCATAGGAACCATAGGCTGGCGCCACCGGTGGCCTCACCTGTACCGGTGCTGCCGGTATCGGGTAGTGGACGGGTATTGGCCCCGCATATGGGGCTGAAGTGTAGTTAATGTTGGGCTTATTGTTGCCGTAATTCTGACAATTAAATCAAGTTATTTGTGTGTCTCTCGAAGACAATTGCAATTATCATTTACATTGTTTCCGGTGTTGTCGTAATTTTCTTGACCATAATTCAATTCTTCGTGACCCTCGGCGTTGTGTCCATTGAAATATTGGTTCTGGTAATTACCCTCACCGTAAGGATTGTCGTCGTCGTCATCATCTTTGTCGTCACTCTTGTCGATCACATCGTTGGACTTTAAACCCCCGGCTTCCAGTTTATCGGCCTCTTTGCCCACTTCTTCGGCCTTATCCTCCACTTTATCTGATCCGTCGTCGGGAACAAACAATGTCCGTTTGCTTTGTTTGCTTAGTCCCCACGTTTGTGACAAACAGCACATCGACGACAACACAAGACAAATGGTGAGACATGTCCTGCAAAAGTGTCCGTAAAATCAAAAATCTATCATATTTTTTCATAATCACAAATGCTTTGTAACAAAACTTAATATGTTTTGTCAATTTATGTTACAATCAATTGAACGAGTAATTGATTTCTGTAATAATACCGATAATTAATTTTAAATTTATGGCTCATTTTGCAGATCATTTGATCGCCAATAAGTCATAAGTCAATTAAAAGCCAAAAAGTTGTGCACAAAAAACACCAAAACCACAGAATCGACTCAATATACTAATCACAACCACAGAAAGCCTTTGAAAATAGGCTTACAATCAAAATAGTCGTAATTTAATTGTGGATCAAATGACTGCCAGACTTGTGTCTACACACAGGATATGGTGGTTATCAGTGATTATCTCAATTCGCAATTATAGCCGAAATCAGCGATTTTTCACTGAATATTCAAAAATATGCTGACATTCGCTGTGTTTTGATTAAAATTTTGATATTTAAAAAAGCAAATCATATATAATTTCTTTATTTCACTCATTAATGATTAAATTAATTATAAAAATTTGTAATAAAATAATACTAAATAATAATAATAAACATAAAGAGAGTATTAATCGGAAACAAAAACACAAGAATTTCATAACATACACAACAAAATGATAATAAAAGTAACAATTTCTATAACAAAAACAATTTGTTAAATGACTGAAGAATATAATCAAGTAATCGTTGATCTATTGGCGCCATTGGCTGATATCAATGTCGGGGATCTCATCACAGTCTCGGATCGGATCGCTATCACAACACAAACACATCAAACAAATTAATTAAACCATTAATAAAGCAAAACTCAATCTCAATGACAAACCTATCGCTATTTAATTGAAACACTTTTGAATGAATTTCCTTAAAATTATCGCCGTTTATGCAAATGATGCGCGAAAACAGTGTCTTTCGGATGGCCTGTAATTGACCTGCGATTCAATGGCCAGAAAATACACGTTAGCGTTGGATGAGTTAACAAGTGATTCAATTACCAGAAGTGAATGAGCCGTCCTGTCCTTCGTGTTCAAAGTAGAAGCGGTCGCCGTATTTCAGATGATTAAACTGAGTGCCTATTATGCAGGCAAACGTCGGCCCAACTATCGCCCCATTCATCGGCAGCTCAGAGATGCCGCCGGAGAACAGGTCGATGTCCTCCACGTGTTGGTAGTTCTGTTGGAACCGTTGCCGTTGCGATGACGGCATGTATTGGTCCAGTTGGTCAAACCTGGTGATCACCTGAAGTACATAACACACAAACAAACATAAGTTATTGTAGAAACACGTGATATCAAGGAGAAAATTTATACCTCGTTGAAACAAAACTTGAGATAATGAACATAGCCGGGTAGGCCGTGATCTCTACCACGTTGTATATTCATGGCGGGCAGGTCTGCGCCGGAGAACTGGCCCCGGGGTTGATACAAGTGGTTGCGGAGGTCTCCGTGACAGAAGGGGTCGAAGCGTTGGGCACTGCGACCGACGAGACCGCGTAGGATAAAGTCCATCTGACCTTGATGCATTCGGGTGGGCGTAAAAAAGTTGTCCCTTAAATTGAACGATGACTTCTGCGAGGGTGTGCTGGCGCTGATCATGGTGAATCGGCCGTTCACTATACTGTGCCCGAACCGGAACGCGGCGCTCGAGAACTCGCTCAGAATGGACGGGTTGACCGCCGGGTCGTATTTGGTGAACCCCGTGCTGTTGACACCGATTTTGTAAAATTGCATTACTTTCGGGCCCAACACTATCGGCAAAAATTCGTTGTATGTTATCATTTGCATTTGGGCTCCGATTATGCGCCTAAACGGGAATACAAAATGAATTTTTAAAATAATTATTTGCATAACTATACGAGAATCAAGTTTGAAATAATAAATTTTTATATTGTAAAATTACCTAGATTCTTGAAACACACGCTCACTATCCCACGTGGGGTTCAATTGCTTTAGAGCCGAGGCCACCCGATTGTGCTGTCTCATCTACAAATAAACAATTCATTAGGGGTTTTATGTTAAATAAGAACAAGNCGGACAACTCGTTGAGCTGAAGCCTCGCGCCGGCGGTACACGACTCGCAGGGAACCGATCGGACAAAGTTTATACACCGTTTGCCCATTCGGTTATAGAAGGCGTCGTTGGGTAGGATTGGTATCTCAAAACAGTCGGGATGTGTGGGTCGGGGACAGCACTGTATGCCACCCGAGCGGAGTTGTGTGACCGGTGTTAGCGAGATGTCGTGGTCAAGGAATTGGCCGAATTGCATCAACATATGCGTGTAGTTGGCCGACACGTCCTCCTGAGCGTGAATCGATACGGACAGTATGCGGGGGTTTGGCAGCGGCCGACCAGAACGTGCCACTCGTGGCACCGATACGCCTATTTGGGCCGATATTGTGGTCATTAGTCAATGAGATAGCGATATAATTGCGGTGAATGTATAGATGGCTAATACCGTCGGCGTATTCCGGGTCCAGGAGTCTAGCGATGCACTCAAACGACTTTCCCCATCGAGTGTTGCGGACGTTATTACAGCTGCCGTCGGGCGTCCGGAAGCGACTCTTCCCCGGACAAGATATCGCCTGTTTTGAGCGACACGTCTGTCGCTTAACGCGGATCAGTTTGTGTGACTCCACCCGCGGGTTGTGCTTCAGAGACAGCGCTTCCTCTCGGCTAAGACTTCGACTAATTATTTGCAAAACCAAAACCAAAAAGTAAAACAGAAATGTTTGAAAACCATAGTTTGTGAAGAAATAAAAATACAATAAAACAAAAGTTTTAACGAGTTATTAGCAAACATTGGGAAACAAAATGAAAAAGTTTTGAAACAAATAAAAAACTAAACAATACTTTTGTATCAAATGTCGGGACACTTCCTCAAAGAGGCGCTGATTTTCGTGTATTTCTCGCAAGAAATGCTTGTTTTGTGAGGGAATGAGATGTCGAGCGGCGGCCGATATTACGGTCGTATCGATGAATAGCCGTTTTTCTTGGATGTCATTCTCGATGGACTTCAATCGGTTCCGTAACTCTTCGGCTCTATTCAGAGCCGTTTCAATGTCTGTATCACTGAATGAAAGCTGTGAACACTTTTCATGGTTTGTTTCAAAGTTTTCGTCACTTGTCTTCTTCTTCTGGGGTTCAGAAGCACTGACACAACAAACACTGATTTGGCTATGGATTAGAGGATCAGATGAGATGATAATTACCGAAGATGTTAACAGACGAGAGAGAGAGAGAGAGAGAGAGAGAGAGAGAGA